CTATGGAATGGGGAAATGACCAGGGCTATTGACACGATTGCTCCCAAGCGTCCTCTCCTGCTCGGCAGAGCCCGTTCATCCCCATGGTACACATCTGAATTATGGGCGATGAAGCAGGTTGGGAGACGTCTAGAGCGTAGGTGGAGGAAATCATGGGATGAATCTGACCGAACATGCCTACGAGCTCATTATAGAGCCTATGCTGTGGTGGTGGGAGCGGCGAAGAAGAAATTCTTCTCCACTTCCATTGCCTCCTCACAGTGCTGTCCAGCGAAGCTCTTTCGAGTGATACATGGGCTGATTCATCCTGGCCCTAAAAAAGATCCTGTACCACCTTTGATGGCCTGCTGTGATGACTTTGCCCAGCACTTTAAGGAGAAAATTGCTCAGATTTGTCATGAGATGGACTCCACAAGTAATTCAGATCCTTTATGGGAGATGCCAATGACTCCATCTGGCCAGGTGTTATTGGATGAATTTCAGTTCCTAGGCTTGATGATATGGATTAAGGGGCCTGATGATATGGATAAGGTGCTTGGACGGATACGTCCCACCACCTGCTTACTTGACCCTTGCCCATCGTGGCTGCTGACCAAAGCCAAACACGGGGTCCTGGAGGTTATTAATGCCTCTCTGAGGGATGGCCGGGTGCCCACTCCTTTAAAGGAGGCGGTATTCAGGCCTGTCCTAAAGAAGGCGTCCCTGGATCCAGAGATGGCTGCCAATTATAGACCGGTGGCCAACATCCCTTTTTGGACAAGGTGTTGGAACGGGTGGTGGCGGAACAACTCCAAGCACTCTTCGATGAAACTGATTATTTGGACCCATTTCAGTCCGGCTTCAGATCCGGGTTTGGTACTGAATCTGCCTTGGCCACGCTGTACAATGACCTGTGCAGGGAGAGAGACAGGGAGAATGCATCCCTGTTGGTCCTCCTGGACCTCTCAGCGGCTTTCGATACCATTGACCATGGTATCCTTCTGGATAGGCCCTCAGGATTGGGAGTAGGAGGCACTGCTTGGCAGTGGTTCCGATCCTACCTTGACAGCTGATTCCAGAAGGTGGTGCTGAGGAACTTTGGCTCTGCGCCAAGGCAGCTATGCCATGGAGTACCGCAGGGTTCCATCTTGTCCCCCTTGCTATTTAACATCTACATGAAACTGCTGGGAGAGGTCATCAGGAGGTTTGGGTTGCGGAACCATTAGTATGCTGATGACAGCCAGCTCTACCTCTCTTTTTCAACCGATCCAGGTGAGGCAGTGGCTATACTGAACAGGTGCCTGGCTGAGGTAATGGGCTGGATGAGGGCCAATAAACTGAAACTTAATCCAGACAAGACAGAAGTCCTGTTGGTGGGTGGATCGAACTCCTGGGTAGGTAGCCTGGACCTTGCCCTGGATGGGGTTGCACTCCCTCTAAAGGACAGGGTCTGCAGCTTGGGAGTGCTCCTCGACCCAGAGCTGTCCTTGGAAGCTCAAGTGATTGCAGTGGCGAGAAGCACTTTCCTTCAGCTTTGGCTAATCCATCAGCTGCATCCCTACTTGGAAGAAGACAGCCTAGCAACAGTGACACATGCATTGGTTACTTCCCGTTTGGATTTCTGTAACGTGCTCTACGTGGGGCTGCCCCTGAAGACAGTCTGTATACTTCAGACGGTGCAAAACAGAGCAGCCAGGTTGCTGACAGGGACTGGGCGTTATTCTCACATAACCCCAGTCCTTTTCCAGTTTCACTGGCTTCCCATTGAAGTCCGGGCTCAATTCAAGGTGCTGGTTATTACCTATGAAGCCCTTAACGGCTTGGGACTGGATACCTGAAGGAATGCCTTCTTCCATATTTGCCCTCCCAACCCTTGAGGTCGGCAGCAGAGGCTCTCCTCTGGGAACCCTCCATGAAAGATATTAGGAGGCAAAGTACCCGGAGAAGGGCTTTCTCTGAGGTGGCACCCCATCTATGGAATGTGCTCCCCAGAGAGGTCTGCCTGGCGCCATCGTTATTTGTTTTTTGGTGCCGGGTTAAGACCTTTTTATTCCAGCGGTATTTTAATAAATTTTATTATTGTCTTTTTTTTGTTTTTAATTGCAGCCAGTGTGGGTTGGAAATTTTATTTATGTTATTTATGTCGTTTATGTTATTTTTGACATTGTAAGTCGTCCTGAGGCTTTTTTGCGAATAGGACGGCATATAAATATTTTAAATAAATAAATAATAAAATAAATAAAGGTTAGCATTATAGAATAATATTTTTAATCCAGCAGTATTAAATGAAAACATAAAGCAATGATAGCTATAGTCATAAAAGAGTTTTAGTGCTAATTAAAAGATCTATGATTATACAATAGTAATCACCACACTGGTTATATGAATGACTGCAACAGATGTGGACTATTTTCACAATACATGTTTAACACAGAGTTCATTCATTTTTTATGGTGGGGGATACTCCCAACAGATGTGTTTTCACATCAGGACAACTCAACCTGTCAATAGGCCAAGGTAGGTTGGTTGTCATGCAAACAACCTACTGTGAACCCTCCCCCACTTGCAAGAATATTCCAGAAGTACTGCAAGAGGAACAAGTTATTCCCCCTTTCCCTGCAATGAGCTGTTTTGGGATTGCTGCAGTTTCATTCCCTTTTCTGGAGATCAAACCTGTGTTTGCAATTCTTTTTTTGAAAGCTATGAGCAGTTCCTTCAGAGTTCTCCAGTGACAAGCTGGAGAGGCTTCCTGAGCACAAGAACAATTATGCTAACAATTATTCATTTTTTAAAAACGCTTAGCTGTGTTTCTGCAACTGCAAACCTTCACTGTTGAGCTACTGCTGGGATCTGAAGCCTCAGCTGGAGCAATATTCAGGGGTTGCCTGTTGCCAAGGGGCAGAAGGTGAGCTGTCAAGATAAACCAAAAGTACAGGCGATATTTAGCTGAGAAAAGCAGGGTTGGTAGATTTAAAATCTCATACACAACAAGATCTTCACCCCCCCCCCCTTTTCCCAATAGGGTATATATTTTGCCCTTTATCCCCACCTGCTTAAGAAAGTACAAATGTGTACCTCCTGCCTTTTTTCAAGGGAAAAGGGGTTTTGACAGATAATTATCAAAACTCTAGGTCCACTTCAAAATAAGGTTTTGAGCGGGAAATGGGTGATTTTGGACTGGGACATGTCTGTACATCAAAACTTCTCTTTTCCATAGGAAAAGGGGTGGAATGCACTTGCATGAGCACCTAGAGCCCCAGGAAAACCATAATGCAGGCACCCTGGTGGAAACTAAGGGAGTGGGAAAGCTGAGGACCTACCATAAAGGGAATTGAAATTCCCCTCCAATATCATCATTCAGGGTCTGGGTGGCAGAAGTGAAGCCAGATGTAGCAGGACCAGGGCAGAAGAACTTGATGAAGGGTCAAGTCCAAACACTGTCCAGAGACTGACAGTGAAGTCGGAAGCAAGCCTGTAGTCGAGCAAACAGGCTGAAGTCGGGAATGAGGAATATGTATAATGACAAGACAAGGACATAGCTATAAACAAGCAATGCTTGAAAACCAAGAAGACAACAAAGCAGGGAGCAAGTATGCAGGGTAACCTGGTGGAATTAAGGAACAGCAGTAGGGGTAGAAAACAAGGCAGATAGAAAGGTGAGACAAGGCAAGGCAAGGCAAAAAAAAAAAAAAAACAATATATAGCATGATGCAGCAAGATATGGTACGAACTGGATCCAAGATGGGTCAGGTGTAGATTCAGGAGCTATAATGTGATGCAGGAAGACCTGTACTGCTGAAGTAAGACAGGAAGGCACACAAAGTTTTTGTGCAAAAATGGTAAGAAAATAATATTTAGAGCAGCTCCTCCAATGTGTCACTGGAGCACTTGTAGGGCTGCTTGTAGCTGGACAGCCTGCTTTTGTGATCTCTCTCTACCCCACCCCACAAACAAAAGAAAATCAAAAGTGCTGAACCCAACAAAAGTGCTGAACCCAAAATGGCTAATGACAACAGGGGATGGTGGCAGCCAATGCCAGTTACACCCAGGTGCCAATTAGGCATCGGGAGGCGGGGAGCTAGTATTCATCCAGTAGCCCTATGGAAAAGCAGCAAGGATTGTTGTTGGTGGCTAGTGAGACCCATGGAAAAAGCAGCAAATCCCTTTATTCGCTTTGGTCATCTGGGTTTGGATTACTCGTCTTAGGTAGAAAAATCCTTATTTGGGGTGGGTTGTTGCAGGAGCACTTGTAGGGCTTGTTGGCCACCTACAGGCCGCCTGGAGGAAATCAGTCTGGATCTGCATGACCAAGCAACCCACCATGGATTATCATGTTGTATGAACCTACTCAGTGGTTTATCATGTTGTAAGAACCTACTCAGGGTTGCCATCCATTTGTAAATCCTTCCAAGTTTTCCTAGTGACTCTTCCATTATTCTTGCTACAGAAGGCTTTTTTAAAGAAGAATTACGGACCAGTGCAATTTCCACAGGTGTCTCGAAGTGTTTCCAGACAGAGCAGTCTTAGTGCTACTGGCCAGAAGGCATTATAATAGGACAGTTGCATCTTTTTAACTTAATGGATTTTACATAAGAAAAAAATATAGAAGACATAGTGGGAAAACCTGGGCAGGTTACAAGAGGAAGATTTTGCCTGGAATTCTTGTAGAATTCTGTGACCAAAGCAGGTCAATAGTGCCATTGAGAACACCTCAGTGTTACTCTTCTGCCTCTTCAAAGAAGTTTGGTTTTAACATAGGCAGCAAGATATTGGGCAGATGAACATATGATAGGTCAGATAGACTTGTGAAGGGCTGGAAATAATATGGGGAATTCCCTTCTTACCCTTCATGGGTGCTTCTGGACTGATGCTTTGAATGCTATAAAAAACAACTGTGCAGCTGTTTCACAATTTCATCCTTAATGTATTTTTTGTGGGGGTGGCAGGAGCAATGGAAAAATACAGGGGGGTTACAAATGGAAACCAGTTGTTTGGATAAAACCAATGCAATCCAAAATGTTATATGAATGAGGTAGGGTAGTTTCATGATAAAAGTGTCATCTGGAAGTACCCAGATAAAGGTAAGATGAAGTAAAACTGGAGATTTTCAAGTTCCAAACATTAAGGCTTCAGCAGAACCATTACATTCTTAGCTTATAACAACATACCTTGTGAAGAGATACCTGACCTGTAATTCATGCTTACTACAGTCAACTACTGACTCCAAGGACAGGTTTGCATAATTGCAGTGAGTGAAATAAACCATGGTGACATAATTTCTGTGCCTTGAATCCCAGTTCCACACAGACAGGATTTTCTTAATTACCTGTGCTTTACACAGCTTGCCATTTTGTCTGGACCATGGGCTATTGTTGGATTGTGTGAGGGTTGCTGTCTCCACAAACAAGACATGCCATCCGGTTCTGATGACACAGTAAGCTACACCAGCAAGAACAATGATTGAAATTTGAATAACAGGTATGATGCAGTTGTTTAACTATGCTATGGTCATGTGGTTCATTAGAATTTTCTAATTTCCCTTTATCAGGTAACAAGAACAAATTCTTTGAAAAATATTCATAATATATTCATAAAAATAATAATTAGCAGCTAGTTACACTTTGTAACATTCAAAGTACTTCTGATACTTAAAACATAGAGACTCAGTCTAGCAAAGAAAAAAACCAGGGAAATCCATAAAAGGAATCATTTTGCTTAAAACTATTTGTATGTGTACATTCTTGTTAAAAGTACTATTTCTAAAGGACACATAATGAAAGTACTGTTTCTAAAGGACTACACTTCCAACACAATGCATTTTCTACAGTTACAATATGCCCATGTAGGATATTGCATTATATTTGCTGTTGTGAAGAAACATATTAGCTGCTGCTATTTGTTATGACTCGCTTTAGTTTCATACAGGCAGAATAAAATAGCTCACTTAACTAGAATGGTGAGATTTCATTCTAAACCAGCATAGGGATCATAAGCAAAAACAGAAAACAAAAACTTAGACTTGAGTTATGGGTCTTAAACAAACTGACCATTAAGATGGTTCTTCTTTCTCCCTTCTTTATTGCCTCACTTGAAAGTGGTATGATTCTCATGAACACAAAACACTCTGATCTTACATATGCAGTAAAATAGCAATTATGGGAGGACTTTCACATTATTAAATCCCTTTCTCATCCCATTGTCATCAAAAGCACATGGGTAATAGTTCATAAGACCAATTAGTCAAAATTATTTTATCTTTCAGGAAGATGACCAACCTACCCATCAGGCTGAGGAAGAGTCACTCCTGATATGCTTGCTTGCGTCTTCCCTTCCATCCCATTTTTCCTTCAGGTGTTAGATTGTGCATCTATAGTTAGGAACTGTCCTATCTTTTAGCACCTGTCCCATAATTTAAAATGTCACATGTTTTAAATAAAAGTTGAAAATATAGTAATAATTTGAGGGTGTTTAACTTTTGTCCTTTTGTTAAGGACAGTATTAATAGTATGAATGATAGAATGTAAAGTTCCAAACAAAGGCTTACATGTAGATGCAAATGCAAGTGCTTTTCCCATTCTCAGCTGACATGGATTTGCTACCAAGGATGTTCTGATTAGTGTGTTGTTTGTATTAGGCTTCTTTAAGCATCTCTGATCACCAAATGTCTTAGCAGTTCAAAGGTATCACCCGAAGCACTTGACTTCTCAAGCAGCTGTTACATCTGCATTCCTAACACCGGCTTGATGTGCAGCCATCAGTTATTTCCAGGCTGTGGAAATATCACCTGCTTGTTCCCATACATACCGCATGAAAGGTAGAGCAGCAAGCCAGGCCAGTTTTTTTTCCTGATCTTAGTATAAGCCAAAGTATCCTATATTCAAACTGTTCTAGCCATGTTAAAACTGCTATCATTTTTCACTACCTTTTGACTGAAAGTTTATATTGAATTAATCTCATAAACGTGTTAGATAAATATATTGAACAAAGAATGAAAATCAACTGCATTATGGTGCAATCGTCTAGTCAGCCCTACAATCACATACAATCCAACATTCAACAGAAAAAAATGGAATATTGCTGCAATTGTAACACTCCTCATGGTTAGGACCTCTCTCACATTTTTCTAAAGCAGAGTTGGGAGAACCTGACCACTGGTGAATGAAGGGATGGGACTTGGAGTCCAACAGTATTTGGAAGGCCAAAACTTCCTCACTTCTTGCTGTAAAGAAAAAGAAGCCAAGGCAAGGAGAGAGCCCCACCTGCAAATCCTGGGCATGTTATTTTCCCTTGGCCAAGCCACTTTTCATCCATTGGGCAAGTCACATCAAACCTCCTAATCAGTATGTATTTACAGAGTGCTTGTCTGCACTTTTAGACTTAAAGCAGGTCCTTTTTTTAACCATACTGATGTCAAAAGCTGCCCACAATATGTAAACTAGTACTTCAGGAAGTAGGCTGCTTTAGACTGTTCTTCTTGATAATTTACTAAACTCGGGGAAACCGTCCCACTTTTTGTTTTATTAAACAGGGGAATATACATGTGGGCCTATTTAGAGAGAGAGCCTGTGCATGCACGTAAACAGGTGCGCATTATGTCTGAAGCGTTGCAGATTTCTGCCTCTCCGTTGAACGGGCTTTTACCCGCCGCTATTGCCGCGGAAGAGGGAGCGCCCTTAGCCGCCCCCCAGCGCCGCGCCCCTCTCAGGGCCGGCTGCCCCCCGCAGGAAGGGCGAGGAGCGGCATGGCAACAAAGACCGGGGGGAGGGGGGCAGGGGAGGGGGAGGGCGGTCCTCTTCCCTTCGCTCCACTTGCTGTCCCCTCCCATTGCAAGCACTTCCGAGGTCGAGGCGCGAAGGCGGCTGCGCGAAGGCAGAGGACCGCTGCTGTCGCCGAGGGAGCGCTGCGGAGCTGGTCGGCCGGAGCGGAGGCGAGGCGTCGCGTCGCGTCGCGTGAAGCCGCTGGCTTGAGGCGGTCCCCGCGGAAGCACCGCCGCCACCATGTCTCGGGGCTCGATCGAGATCCCCCTCCGGGACACTGACGAGGTGGGCGCGCTGGGGGGCGGGATGGCTCTCGTCGCTTGCCCCTACTCCTGTTGACTTCGAGGGAGCCGCGTAGTTTGGGGAGAGGGAAGTTTACCGGCGCCTCTGTCGCCTTCTCGGAGGAGATGGAGCAAATTCTCCCCGAATGGCCAGGCTACTAGCCCGATATGCCTACCCCTCCTCTCTCTCCGCCTTCCCCTTATTGGCGCCCCTCAGATGTTGTTTTGGACTACAGCCTCCAGTGTTTCTTACCGCTGGCCATACTGACTGGGGCTGATGGGAGTCGAACTCCAAAACATCTGGTTCGGGAAGCCTACGTCTAAGCCGGCTTTCTCCACCTGCTGTCTTCCAAGACTTGGACTGCAATTCCTAGCATCCTTAGCCACCCCTGGGAGTTGTATTCCAACACATCTGGAGAGGAGCGGGCTAGAGAAGGCCGTTTCTGATTCTTCTTAAATATTCTCATTGCCAGTATTAAGGCTTAGCATTTCCATACAAGGTATGTTTTTCACAAAATAATTCTGATCCTGATTACTCACTTTACCCACTTATAATATGCTTGGATCTTGAGTCTCTTATCTTGATATTAACTGTTCTCCTTTTCATGTGTACACAGAAGGTAAGATGCTGCTGATCATGTGTCCTTTTGCTTGTCTGCATTTATTTTCTGGAGTCCACAAGTGTGTCTGTGCATCTTGGAGTTGGACAGCATATGGAAGATAGTTTTATATATATATTTAATCATATTTCTATGCAGTCCAACAGCCAAAGCTCTGAATAAATGTTTTCTATTCCTGTGATTTAAATAACTTGTCCAGATTTTCCCCTTTGCATACAGACATGTATCTACAGATGCATGTAACACAAGATGAAAGAGATCACATTTAAATCATTTAAAAATAAGAAAATACATGTTATACATGCAATCCATCACATATGAGGGCTGCATGGATGTTTGATTTTTCCGCATTTATCCATGCAGGAAATTCTTCCATGTAGGGTATTTTTCAGGGAATCTAATGTTCCCTGAACTGTGACTGAACTCTCACCTGAAGATGCAAGATTACTGTAGTATGTGACATAATAGTTCATACAATTTGTCTTTAGTGGGTTATAAATTTATACATTACTGATATTTACTTTTTTCAGGTCATTGAGCTTGACTTCGATCAGTTACCGGAGGGGGATGAAGTTATAAGCATTCTGAAACAAGAACATACTCAGCTGCACATATGGATTGCTCTCGCGGTCAGTGTATTACCAGTTCATTGTATTTTGTTTCATTTCTTTCTACTCGTTTTCCTATCATGGAACTAAGGTAATATACATAGGGTTCCCGGGGAGCTTCCTACTGAAGCTCTGATGAGATCCAGGTATTTCATTTCATAGAAATTTATTGAATTCAATGGTACTTATTCTCCAGTGATTATGCCTAAGAATGAGCAGGGATTTGGACTAGGTAAACTCTGAGGACTCTTTCTGAGTCTCTCATTCTGCGATTACGTCTTTAATCCTGAAACAGTTCTGTGGGCCAACTTGACAAGAACTGTTATGGGCTATAAACCTGTTTACAGATAACGGTGGAGATAACAATATGTGAACAATTAATGCAAGAAAAAAGGGGTGATGTCAGGGGGCAAAGCCATGACTCCCAATAACAACCAGTTCATGGTGGATATGGTAGCTGGCCCCACACAAGAAACCAGTTATGCAGCCCTGCTTTAACTGATAATGTTGCAGTACATTCTGTAGCTTATGGTATTTTTATGTTTGTATTTTTAATGGAATGGCTGCAATATTCTTCATCTAACATCAGCCACTAAGCTGGCAAACTGTTTGCTAGTAGTGCAATGCAGAAATATTTTACAATTGATTTTGCATTCTCCCTTTCTAGTTGGAATATTACAAACAAGGCAAAACAGAAGATTTTGTGAAACTGCTGGAGGCTGCTCGTATAGATGGAAACCTGGATTATAGAGACCATGAGAAAGATCAGATGACTTGTTTAGACACCTTAGCAGCCTACTATGTACAGCAGGCTCGGAAAGAAAAGAATAAAGACAACAAGAAAGAGCTTATTACACAAGCGACTCTGCTGTACACTATGGCTGACAAAATAATAATGTATGATCAGGTAAAAACAAATTGTGAAACTATTCTATATATATGTTTGCTTTGTTGAACCCACAATCTATTTGGTACATTGAAGTAATGTTGGTATCTTGTACAGAAATTATATGTTTGTTTTCTTGTCTGTATTTTGGTTAAAAAGATTATTTGCTCAATTCAAGAAATGGTAAATGCAAGAGAAAGAAACTTGGCCAACCTCTGCTTGTAGTTGAACAGACCGCCATGTTGGGATCCAAAGTCTAATGCACTTTAGCTAGATGCAGTTTGCTTTCATCCATGCAACAACTTGTTATATACTTTCAGCAGTTGATCTGCAAGCAGAAATCTGTTTCTGCATATCGATTATTGCTGCTGGAATAAGGCTAATATTGCTGAGTAGTCACAGTAGGCATCTTACCAGCTTTTTAAACATCAAGGTAAAATTAGCTGCGGGATAAATTGACCATTTTCCTAGCAATTTTTTCATATTCCTGGACAGTATAAGTAGTGGTGGTGCTCATTTTTTATAAAGTATGCTCAGCCATTAGATGCTGTACAACAGCCTTCCCCAAACTAGTGTCTTTCAGATGTTTTGAACTGCAGCACTCCTCTTGCCTGACCAATGGCCATCTTGGCTGGGGATAATGGGAGTGCAGCACCATTCTCTGAAAGGCACCAGGTTGAACATAGCTGCTGTGCAACAGCTAAACATGAGAAAGGCCTTGCCCTTAGGCTTCTTGTGTAATCAGAGATGAGAAAAGGAAGGAAGGCAACAGAGAAGGGATGGCTGGGAATATTCCAGGTTAAATAAGACTTGTGAAGGGAAGGGCTACAATGCAGCGGTAGATTGCAATTCAGTGGTAGAGTTCATGCAAAAGACCCCTGGTTCAATCCATGGTGTATCTAGTTAGGGCTGCAAAAGCTCCTCTCTGAAACTTGAGGGAGCCATTGCCAATCAGTTTAGACAGCTAGACTGACCTATAGTCTGACTTGGTATAAGGCATAAGTTCCCAATACAGTAATAGAGGTGAAGAATTCTATGTCCAGTGGCAGAGAAAACTGAAATTTGCTGAAAACTGGTATCCACAGAGTGAGGGTTCTGAGAAGTATCTATGGAGGATGGAGAGGAGATAGCTGTAGAGAAAAAAGAGCATGGGGATGTTGGAAGTAACTGCATAACTCTGAAAAGATGATGATGATGATGATTTATTTCTTGTGTCTATATGTTCTCTTACTTCTATACCGCCCCATAGCTGAAGCTTTCTGGGTGGCTTACCACTATGTGTAAAATAATACAATACAAATAACATAAAAACAACTATTTTAAAATAAATTTTAAACAGCTTTTAAAATGTAGTAAAAAGACCCTGCAAAGGAGCAACATTCCTGGATAATTCCCCAGGCTCCTGGATAACCATGGGAGACCTTTAGAGACTTCTGCATAAAGAATTGTCTTGACTTGCTGCCAAAAAGATGGCAAGTTTGATGTCAGGTGGGCTACAGCAGGGAGGTTGGTTCCAAAGATGGGGTGGGGGGACTACCACAGAAAAGGCATTTGCCCTCTGAACCTCCCATGGTGTTGGCACATGAATTGATGGGGAATTGGGGAATGTGTTAATTTCCTGAAGTTTGTGATTTTGTCTTGAGAGATCAGTGTAAACTAGCTCAGTGTAAATAGAGCATGGAGTTAGGTGGAACAAAGCTAGCACTTTCTTGGTGTGACTTTTGCTTCTTGCTTTTCTAGAACCACTTATTGGGAAGAGCCTGTTTCTGTCTCCTGGAGGGTGATAAAATGGATCAAGCTGATGCACAATTTCATTTTGTGCTCAACCAGTCTCCAAATAATATTCCAGCCCTTCTTGGTGAGACAGTTATAAAATATATTTTAGGGTTCTCGTTACCCCCTTCCTGATGTGCCTGTATTTAACCTATAAAACTTCAGGTCTAATATACCTCAGAGACCACCTCCTCTTAGTATGATCTATAAGATACATTGAAGGCACAAAGAGTTTCCTCCCTTTGGTATGACACACCACCCCATTGCATGCTTGTCAAATTCTAACCTGAGTACATTTGACAAGTGGTGAGACAAACCAATACTTAGCTAAGTAATAGAATTTAGAGTTAAATTCAATGCTTGAATTTCAAGAGGTGGGTATAGAGAAGGCCCTGGTCTACTATTCACCTTTTATGGTGGTTTCCTTAGGTTTAGCTATGGTGGAGGCTTGTAGACTTCATTAAGGCTTCTTGTGTCTGTATGTTCTCTTACTTCAAGTTCTATAATTATATGCTCTATAATTCAAGCATTAAGCAAGTTTGTAGTAAAGAAATCTGGGTGATATTTTAATATCAGAGATGGGAGAAGTGCCTAACTTTGTTAAGTGTGAGGGAGTGGGAGAGGGATAGGTACTTGAGGTTGTTGTTGGGTATGTGTACACATGTTCAATTGTGCTCTGAATGATACGCTGATGAACAAATACCCTGTATATGCTTCTGTGGCTATCAAGATCGTATGTCTAGATGTTACATGTGGATGTAAGATCTGTGGACATTTTCTGCAACCATCCCTTCTCAATCTCAGATCAAATTGCTAGATCATTTTAAGGTGATGAAGGTGCAGATGGTGGTAGGATAAAATGGAGGAAAATGCTTCTATTTCTGATCTTGTGGCTGTGTTTTGTGTTTTGGCTGGGGAAATTTCCTTGTGCTGGTCTCTTAATTAAGAAAACCAGGAAATAATTTTCCTTTCTAATGTTGAGTTTGCTTACCTGGTATAGGAAGGCCTGCACTATGCTGGCTGAAGGGAAATAAAGATATAAAGTAACTGATGGAAACAGCCACTTCCTTTTTCATACCATTAGATTATCCTTCAGCTGGAAATACTTTTAGTTGAGACTTAATTTGTTGTTCTTTATTTCATTTCTATTTATTTTCAAAATACATATTCTTCAAATTGCATCTATTATATTGAGAATACTTACTAGTTGAGCAGTGTCAGTCTTTTTAATGTAACTTTGTACCCCTTAAATATGCTTGCATGAAATAAATGCTGTTGATTAGATGTCTGCCATGAAATTTCAGTAGATATTTATCAACTTTCATAGGTAAAGCATGTATTTCATTCAACAAGAAGGATTACAGAGGTGCACTTGCCTATTACAAAAAAGCACTGCGAACCAACCCAGGCTGCCCAGGTAAAAAGCATCATACCTGTTAAAGACAATGTTAGACTGTTGGGGCCAAAAATGATGCCCTTAAATTCAGCTAGTCAGAATAATAGTATGCCTTTTAAAAATGAGTCTCCTGTAAACTTGATTTCATTCTAAATGTCACGTATTGCTATGTTAAAATAGTTATATACCAAGAAAGAATATTTTAAATAAAGTGCACTTGGTCCAGTTGGAGTGAATGTAAAGTGAAGACACTGTTTCCTTTGTTAGATCAAGTTCAGTTTACAGACTGCATGTTTTGGAACTGCCTGTATTCATCAAGTAGAACAGATAATAATTGCACGCACATATCTGGTCAGATCTTTGACCTGTGTAGGCCAATATTGTCTGTTTCTAATGGCAGTAGATCACCTGATTGGGACCTTTTGTAGCCTTGCTACTCAAGAACTATGAAAACTAAAAACATAAGAAGGTACCTACTAGCTCAGATAAAAAAATATTTCTAGTCCATTGAGAGGTGCCTTTAGGGATTCCACGGACAGGCGCCATTTTGTTACTCCTGAGCAACCTGGAGGTTCCATATAAATATCAAAACTCATTCAGTGTTACATCTGTCCTCCATGACTTTCTGCATGCAAAACATACACTGGGCCACTGAGTTATGCTTTTGCCTCTCAGATCTTTTATTATGTTCAGAAGATACTATTTTTGTATTCTGTCTGAATGTGTAAACAGCTTTGAGGAATGGAGAAGGGTGATTGGGACTGATGGAGTGAGGGGAACCTAAGAATTCTTCCGTGACTCAGATCTTAGTCCAGACCAGAGAATACGTTTGTAGCTTGTTTGCCTTTTTTTTTTCTTGAGATGCTTTTATGAGCACTGAAGCTTATTTCTAAGTCCAAACTCAAAGAATGTCACTGGCATCTCTATCTGTAATTTCAATTACAATTTGAGAATGACCCATCTATTTAAGAACACTGTGTTCTCTGGAGCAGCTGGTGATCTGCTTATAGAACTTAACTTGCAGTGTATGATAAGAAGATCCTTTTCCTACAGTTCATTGTTATCATTGTTATTTTGGAGTCAATGATACACCCTTTTCTCAATCCTTCTATATGCTTTAAAAAGCCATTTGTGCCCCTGACCATCACAACATCTTAAGCAATTAAGGATAACTACTAACCCTTACTTGCTGTAAATTTGTGGGCAGTTATTGTACAACTATTACACAGGACCTCAAACATGTTGAGTACTTCTAGAAATAGAAAATGATAAACCTGCATTACTGATGCAAGTAAAAGTGTAAATGGGAGAGTTCTAAATCTTGGAATTGTTTGCTGTTTCCTTCCATTAGCTGAAGTTCGGCTGGGCATGGGCCATTGCTTTGTAAAACTGAACAAGTTGGAAAAAGCTCGCCTGGCATTCAGCAGGGCACTGGAACTCAATTCCAAATGTGTGGGAGCCTTAGTTGGATTGGCTGTTCTGGAACTCAATAATAAAGAGGTTGGTTTGACCTGAAATGGTAATATATGAAAACTGTGCTTTGTTGATAGTTTCTAATGCAGTCATGAAAAGTTTGCCAGTTGAAATTAAAACATCAGGGTTTTTTTTAGCAATTCATATATTGTTTTTCTCATCTTGAATAGTAATAGAGCCCTTGAAAAGCTAATTCAAAATATACTGGCCATATTCCGTAAACTGTTCAGAGAGCCAGCATGGCTGAGTGGACAGTATGCAAAAATGTTTATAAAAATAAATAATTTTTTGGATTATCAGAATACTTCATCTCTTGCTGTGTTGCTAACTCACTGTGAGCCATTCATTCCAGTTTTTTCCCCCCACAGGGTTAGGTGGAGGGAGGGAGGCTTGTCAATACCATGTTTGGCATTTGGCCCTTACATTGCATAAAAGTGAAATAGAGTGCTAATTAAATCAATGAGCTCATCACTTTCACCTTCTCCCCTTCTCTGGAAGAGGTTGAATGTTTTTGCTTCCATTTTAGATAAACTGCAGTTCACTGTGTTGTCTGAACTCTAAACTGTAGTCATCTTTGTTTAGTTGAAACAAGCCAGCTTAAGCTATAGGTTTAAAAGGGTCATTTCAAGCATAGTTAAAGTTAGCTATGGTTTATCTGGATTCAGTTAATGCATTCACCTGCATTTAATCAAAAACAGGAGCAAAAGCTCCCATGCTTCTCACAGTTCAGAAGGCCTGCTCAGGCTGTTTCTTTAAACTATATATAGTGTTGCATCTAAACAAGACCATTGGCAGCCTTGAAACATTCACAGGACTCCTGGGGTTTCTGGCCCATCCTTTAGAATATTCACTGTTACCTCCTGTGTAACTGAAATGGAGCTGAAGTGCAGTTATTGTTTCATCTTTGGAAGCAGGCTAGAACAAGGCTTGGTTTTGCTGTTACTCAATAGAAAGGACAGCTAGAAAGCAAGCTAGATGCACAGATCAACCCTTCTGTCAATGTTATTTTCAGGCTGATTCAATCAAAAATGGTGTGCAGCTGCTTTCTAGAGCGTACACAATTGATCCTAGTAATCCAATGGTGTTAAACCACTTGGCTAATCACTTCTTCTTCAAAAAGGTAAGACAACTGCAGAATTTCTGGCTTATGTTGCTTCCTCAGTTTTTTTCCAGTTAGTTCATATGGATAAGGCTTTATGTGTAGATGCATATCAGAGAAAACAGGATTCTGAAGTTAGGATTATTTTAAATGATGCTTCGGTGTGCATTTTTAAAATAAGTTGTCCTGGCTTGTTTGAAGCTATTTATTATTTTTAATTGGTATATTTTTTAAAATTATCCTTACATTGGCATCAGTTCACACAAGTGGCAGGTGCTACAGCAGTTCCTAAACAGGCGTTCCTTGGGCTTGTGTGTGTCACAGTCACTTGGGAAAACATTATAAGCCAGAGGGAGAAACATTAGTATTTTGGCTATTTGTAATCTACTTCTCTTCTCACAATCAGTTTTTCCATACTGTACACAATTTCTCTGTATAAGAACTATATGTGTGAATTGGTTCTTTTTCAAGAATGCAAGATTTGGTTTCAAAATACTTAGGTGTTCCAGACCATGATTGTGTATATCTTACAAAAATGATTATGACAATTTCATTTTCTTCATATAGGATTATGGGAAGGTCCAGCACTTGGCCCTTCATGCTTTCCATAATACAGAGGTTGAAGCGATGCAGGCAGAGAGTTGCTACCAGTTAGCCAGGTCTTTTCATGTTCAGGTACCAGCTGCATTTAAAGCTTCCCTTTTCTACTTTGCACTTCTATTTTTTGAAATACCTTAGATGGTGCACATGGACATTTTAACTGCCTTGCTTCTTCCCCTTCCCACCTTATATTAGGAAGATTATGATCAAGCTTTCCAGTACTACTATCAAGCTACACAGTTTGCTTCCTCTTCTTTTGTGCTACCATTTTTTGGACTAGGACAAATGTACATTTACCGAGGAGACAAAGAAAATGCATCACAGTGTTTTGAAAAAGTTTTGAAAGCATACCCTAACAATTACGAGACTATGAAGATTCTTGGATCCCTCTATGCTGCTTCAGAGGATCAAGACAAACGAGATATTGCGAAGGTACCATCTGCAATTGCTCTTTAGACTTAAGCAGCAGTCCTCTAGTAATTTAGCTGGGAATAGGCCCCATTGAATTCAGTTAGACTTGTTTCTGAGTAATTATACGCATGCACAAAACTGTAATGCTTCTGTGCTGATTAGGGTTATTCAATATGCATTAACCCTTTTCCCCACAACTGTGGGTTATTTTTTGAGAGATTTGATCCTGTGAAAAACAAAATCCGTGATCTCTAATCTCTCAAGTAATTTCTGTGCAGTACCAATAGGTAATTTCCCTTTTTAATTTAAAGTGAGATCACACCAGAAGCTCAGATAAATGAATTTACTAGGGCTTGAATGAATTTCACGCAATATTTATTTATTTAAAACATTTTTATGCTGCCTCCATTGCAACGAAGCCTCAGGGTGGCTCACAACGGAAACAAAATACATGAATAAATAACAATATAACAAATTTTTTTTAAAAAAAACCTCTGGTGCATCTTGGCTAAAAATTTAAAATCCTATAAATACAAATAATTTAACAATTAAAATAAGTTTTAAATAAAAAGGTCTTAGCCTGGCGCCGAAAAACAACGACGGTGCCAGGCGGACCTCTCTGGGGAGCACATTCCATAGATAGGATGCTCACTAAGTTTCAGTCACTCTTGGAGGGACTTGGTTTTCATTTCAGTGGCTTTTATTCACAAGTGGGAAACATCCCTTGTTACTCTCAAGGTGCTTCCCGGGTACATCATTTAATCTTACACTTGTAAGGCATTGGATGCCATTAATCTTGTGTTCCAGCAGATGTATGTCTGTGTAATGGGACTTAGCTCCCTTTCCACTCCAGCAATCTGGAGCAGATTTTGGAAGTGTGTGTTGGACTGCAGGAGTGAGAGGAAATCTATTCTACCAACTTTTTCTTTTCACTAGCATTTGGACAGACTTGAATTTCACATTGTATGCTGTTTGAAATATCATAATTGGGCAAATGTTTGCTCATGCTGTCTAGCTTCATTGCATTGAAAAGGGCTTATTTTTAGAACAGTTTTAATGGCAGTTGTTGAATTCTGAATATTAGTGCAGTATTAGCTTTATCAAGGAAAATCATCTCATTTTTAAGAAAGAAAGATTTCTTGGCTCACAAGTTAGGAAATACCAGATTTTGTACAGTCGTGCCTATTCCCAAAATTAACATTTTTAAGGTGTAACGTATTGCAATTATTTGACAGATGTTTGTTCATTGTGCTGCCTCATAATTCCTCATAATTTATCATAGTAACAAGTTGTTTTTAATGGTAGTAGTTAAATGTCTGTACATCTGGAAAGTAGTGGCTTTTTTGGAAATATCTCTGGTGATTCAAGTATGATACTGACTTAGTTGAAAAATCTAAAGTAAATTGTATCTTTATTGTTTTGTGTCTTTTGGCAACTTAAATGAATATGCATTAATAATGGTTGTATTTTATAGGGTCATTTGAAGAAGGTTACAGAACAGTACCCAGATGATGTAGAGGCCTGGATTGAGCTTGCACAAATCCTAGAGCAGACAGATATACAGGTATAAGAGTAGATGCATAAAGCACACTTGCTTGAAGCCAAACCGTTACGGCCAGCACTGATCCTCTCCTCTATCTCTTCTATGTGACCTCTGCATTTCACAGGGTGCCCTTTCAGCTTATGGTACAGCAACACGAATTCTTCAGGAGAAGGTGCAAGCTGATGTCCCTCCAGAAATTTTGAATAACGTGGGTGCCCTCCACTTCAGACTTGGAAACTTAGGAGAAGCAAAGGTATGAAAAGCACTACTGCTTCTGCATAAAAAGTGTATAACTTGGTCTCTACACATTGTGTATTCAAATACTATATTTATTTGTGTTTACTTTCCATACTTGCCTTCAGAAATACTTTTTGGCATCTCTGGATCGTGCTAAAGCAGAAGCTGAGCATGATGAGCATTACTACAATGCGATCTCAGTCACGACATCCTATAACCTGGCCAGATTGTATGAAGCAATGTGTGAATTCCATGAAGCAGAAAAATTGTACAAAAACATCTTAAGAGAGCATCCAAACTATGTTGACTGTAAGAAATCTTTAATAATGAATGGCTGCATGCATGATCTCTCTGCTTTGCCACATTTCTTAAAATCTTCCACATTTTCAGCTTTATTTGAACTATCCTGTTTGTGCGTAAACATATACATATCCTTTATACTTAAAATGGCCTTTCTGATGTTTTCCTTTGTGTAGGAATAGTTGCTAAACACCACATACAACGTAAGTTCACTAATTAAAAATAAGTTTTTTACTAACTTCATCAGTACTTCATAAAGCTAGGAGACTATTCAAATCCTACCAATATAAATCAGAGCCACTGATTTTTTTCCTTCCTTTAAATGGAGGTGTGATCACAAATATAAGATGTTACTTTGTAAGCCTCTGTAGATACATGTATTAGGAAAGATGACAAAACTTACATTACTGACACTACACACACACAATCTAGAGCCAGGCTTGGTTTTTGCAAGTATGCCTGGGTAGAATTTCTTAATTAATATTTATTAATTATTTCCTCCAAATACCATCCAAAAGCCAAGTGTGCCTGGGTGGTTAACAAAAGTTAAAATTAAATGTTACAAATACTAAATTTAAAAGAATAAACCTATTATAGCAATTGCAATTATGCTGGTATAATTGTATTATAATAGGAGGATAGTCCTACCATGGTGCATCTCAGTTCAGTACCAATAAAAGAGCTCTCTATTATTGCTAAGTATGTTATTTGAGGATGGATGCTGTGTTACCCTCAATAAGCCTTTTTTCTGCTGTTACTTCCAAGCCACACAGTTCTTTGTATGATACATCTAGTAACTGGGGGCAGTTCACTGCTCAGTTACATTGGTCCACTCTGCTATTGCCCCACACCCTATCAGGTATACTACTGTGGGCAAGAATCCCTCAGAAGAAATGGAGTAGCCTTCATAGTCGATAAAAGAGTAGGAAAAGCAGTACTGGGATACAATCTCCAAAATGACAGAATGATCTCAATTCAAATCCGAGGCAAACCATTCAACATCACAGTAGTCCCAAGTCTATGCCCCAACCACTGGTGCTGAAGAGGCCGAAGTTGACTGGTCCTGTGAAGGCCTACAACACCTTCTAGAATTAACACCCAAAAATGATGTCCTTATCATCATGGGAGATTGGAATGCTAAAGTAGGAAGCGAAAAGATAACCAGAATAACAGGCAAGTTTGGCCTTGGAGTACAAAATGAAGCAGGGCACAGGCTGGTAGAATTTTGTCAAGAGAATACGATGGTCATAGCAAACACTCTTTTCCAACAACCTAAGAGACGACTCTACACATGTACATCACCAGATGGTCAACACAGAAATCAGATTGGGTATGTGCTCTGCACCCAAAGATGGAGAAGCTCTATACAGTCAGTAAGAACATGACCAGAAGCTGACTGTGGCTCAGATCATGAGCTTCTGGTTGCAAAATTTAGGCTTAAATTGAAGAAAGTAGGGAAAAGCACTAGGTCACTCAGGTATGACCTAAATCATATCCCTGATGAATATACAGTAGAGGTGACAAGTAGATTTAAGGAATCCTATCACTTTCTGGCAAATAGATGGGAAAGAAATGGAGGTAGTGACAGATTTTATTTTCCTGGGCTCCAAGATCACTGCAGACGGGGACTGCAGCCAAAAAATTAAAAGACGCTCCTTGGGAGGAAAGCTATGGCAAATCTAGACAGCATGCTAAAAAGCAGAGGTATCACCCTGCCAACAAAAGTGCATATAGTCAAGGCTATGGTTTTCCAGTTGCAATGTATGGCTGTGAAAGTTGGACCATAAGGAAGGCTGAGCACCGAAGAATTGAGGCCTTTGAATTGTGCTGGAGAAGACTCCTGTGAGTCCCTTGGACTGCAAGGCAATCAAACCAGTCAGTCTTAGAGGAGATCAACCCTGACTGCTCTTTAGAAGGCCTGATATTGAAGATGAAACTCAAATACTTTGGCCACCTAATGAGGAGATAGGACTCCCTGGATAAGACCCTAATGCTGGGAACAATAGACAGCAAAAGAAGGAGGAGACGGCAGAGAATGAGGTGGCTAGATGGAGTCACTGAAGCAGTCAACATGAGCTTAAGTGGACACCAGGGGATGGTGGAGGACAGAAGGGCATGGAGAGGTGTTGTCCATGGGGTCACGATGGGTCGGACACGAGTTCGCGACTAACAACAACAGAGTGGCACCAGTGCCGCAGATAGATCTTCTGAGTATCTAATCTGAGAGCAATCCAAAGTTGGAAACAACCTCAGAGTGTCAATTGAAGCTTTTAACTAAATTGACACTCTGAGGTTGTTTCTTTCCACACCATGGTGCCTGTTCTCTTAGGTTGGGAAAGTAACCTCAGAGAGGTGGGAAAGGGGATGTTCTGGTAGGCATGCCAACCCTCCCACCCCAAAATGCCTCAGGTAGATGGGAAAAAATGCAGGGTAGGAAGATGGGGTAGTGAAGATGCCTCTGCTGCTCCTCCCACCCTCTGTAGGATAATCATAGAGACTCTGCTTGGAGCTTTTGATCATTGTAATATGATTGTGCCCTTTATGGCTCGTTGTTTTATGTAACCAGAATTTGATTTATTAAAACATAGTTTCCTATATCCAGGCTATCTACGTTTAGGAGCTATGGCTAGAGATAAAGGCAACTTTTATGAAGCTTCTGACTGGTTTAAAGAAGCGCTTCAAATCAATCAGGTTAGTAAGAATTTGCTTGATTTGCAGTGTTGTAGCTCATAGAATTAAAGAACAATCAAAATTTCTACCAAGATTTCACTGATGACTTTCTTTTTCCTCCATAGTTCAGCATAACTTTATGAATATATATTTTGTAGTTCAGCCTCCACATTTTGCTGGAAGTGACTTCTTGATAATACTTCTTTATATGAGTAATAGGGATGTATAAGCAATCAGTATTGGTAGCTGCTTTGGAGTTTTTCTCCCTGTACAGATCAGATGAAGTCTGGGCTGTATGGAAGAGTTGTAGAAGTTTAAAGAAATCTCAGTTGCTCAGAATTTCAGTAGTGCTATTTCGTGTGGGGAAGAACTCATTTGAACAATTATTGGTCCATAAACCAAGAGGATTGTATTTATTTATTTACTTATTTATTGGTTTATATCCTGCCTTTTTCCTACAAAGGGCTCAAGGCAGCTTACATCTCCTCCTCCTCCTCATCCCCACAGCAACAACCCTGTGAGGTAGGTTGGGCTGAGAGTCTGTGACTGGCCCAAAGTCACCCAGTTGGCTCTATGGCTGAGTGGGGACTAGAACCCAGATTGTCTGAGTCCCAGTCCCATGCTCTTAACCACCACACCACACTGGCTTTCAGTGTGGAAATTAGAAATATAATTAGGATAATTAGAACTAAATGTTCATTGCAAAATAGCCTGGGTCATAGAACCTTGTGATATGTATTTCAGGACCATCCAGATGCTTGGTCTCTAATTGGTAATCTTCATTTGGCCAAACAAGAGTGGGGTCCAGGACAGAAGAAATTCGAAAGAATATTGAAACAGCCATCAACTCAGAATGACACCTACTCTATGTTGGCTCTGGGCAACGTGTGGTTACAAACTCTGCACCAGCCCACCAGAGACAGAGAAAAGGTAAATTCTGCACGTGTTCATAGAATCATAAAATAGTACAGTTGGAATTGGCCTGCAAGACCTATTGGGTCCAATCCTGTGCTTACTCAAGTGAAAGCATCCTTAACAAATGGGTGGCCAGCTGTATCCTGAATGACTCCAGGGTGGGAGAGCCTACAAGTTCCCTAAGTAAATTATTCCATTGTCAGAAGGTCAGAAGATTTTCCTGATGTTCAGCTAGAAACTGACTTCCTTCAACCTGAGTTCAATATTCCATGTCCCGCACACAGGGATGATTGAGAAGAGAACCTAACCCTCCTTTGTGTGACAGTCTTTCAAGTACTTAAAGAGCTTTATCATATATTGGCTCAGTCTTTCCTTCCTAAGATTAAAGGTGTCCTGCTCTTTTAGTGTCTTCTCATAGGGCTTTGTTTCCAGTCCCCACTCATCTTTGTTGCCCTCCTTTGAACCTTTCCCAGTCTGTCTGCCTCTTTCTTAAAACTGTGGAGTCCAGGAGCTAGATGCTGTACTCAAGATGAGGCCTAACTGGAGTTGAATAAAGGGTACTAGTACCTTACATGATTTGGAAGTATTCATGTGAATACAGTCCCAGATAGCATTTGTCTTTTTTGCAGCTACATGGTTGACTCGTTCATCCATGTGATCTATAACATTTCCATTTGACTGTCTCAAGCTGCAATCCTGCCCCTTCGGCTTGTGCTTTACCTTTGCCAGGGAGTCATCTACCTTCTTTTTGGAGAAGACCAAGCCAAAGCAGAAAATGAGCACATCTTCCTTTTATTTGTTATCCATTATCATTTTGCCATCCTCATTGAGTACCTGAACCACCATTTCTTTGCTCTTTCACTACGCATGTATGTGAAGAAGGCTTTTTTGTTTCCTTTAGCATCCCTTGCTAACCTCAGTGTATTCTTAGCATGAGGCTTCCTGATGCCATCCAACTCTCAGCCACTTGCCTATACTTTTCCTTTGTAGCTAGCCTCCCTTCCAGTGCATCCCTTTTGTTTTCAGGTCATCTCTAAGCTTTTTGTGAAGCCACATTGCTGTCTGTCTGCCGTCTGTTGTTTTCCATCCTTTTTTTCTGGTCAGAATTGTTTGTAATTGTGCTTTTAGAATTTCCTTTCTTAAAAACTTCCTACCCATCGTGGAAGTCTTTTCTTATTAGAGCTGCTTGCCATGGGATCTTCCTTACCATTAGTTTGAGTTTATTAAACTTGGCTTTCCTAAAATGCAGGGAATGTATTTGGCTTATGCTTTCTTTAAAATAAAGTATCACACAATTACTTATTACCAAGATTCCCGTAACTGCTACTTTCTCCTTTAGGTCTTCCCTGTTAGGTAGAATCAAGTCAAGGATAGCTGATCCTCTAGTTCCTTCCTCCTGTAGAAGGAATGTATCAGTAACCCAAATCAGGAATTTCTTGTGGGGCCATATTTGGCAGGATTTGGTCTCAACAGGTATCAGAGAAATACAAGTCCTGCATTGCTGATACATCATGGCTCCTTGAAACACTGGCAAATTTGCTTTTCAAAAGTGTCATCCTCATCTTCTGAACTGAGTGAGCTGTAATAGACTTTGAACATCATGTCCTTTTTATTCTTGACCCCATTTATTTTAATTCAGATGCCCTCAGTGGGGTTACTAAGCTCATCCTCCTGTTTTTTGTGCAGAGATATGTATCTTTAACAAATAGAGCAACTCCACCTCCCTTTCTGTTCTTTCTGTTCTTGAACAAATTATATCTTCCAGTTGTTGAATTCTAGTCGTGAGAGTCATTCCACCAAGTGTCTGTTACACCTATCAGATCATATTCCTCCTCCTGCATTAAGAGTTCACATTGGTGCTGTTTGTTTCTCATACTCTGGGCATGAATATATAGACATGATATATACGTAGAGATTATGTGCTTCATAATCTAAATTTCTTCCTTTGCAAGACTATTCCTGAGCACTGTTCGAGTTGCCCACTCTATTGTGGGGCATCTAGTTTTCCTTTGTGCACCAATGCTTTTGTATACCTGGACCAAATGAGCCTACTCACCAACTAGGGTGTAACCAGCAGGCTGTAGTATCTGTCCTGCCTTGCTGACAGTTTAAGAACAGGAGAAGATGAAGAGCCTTGCTGGCTCAAACCAAAGGCCTGCCTAGTCTTGCATTCTTTTCATGTGGTGGGTAACCAGCCACCTTGGAAAGACCTGCAAGCAGGACATGAGTGCAGTGGTGCTCTCACATGTGTGTTTCCCATCTGGTATGCACAGACATGCTGCCTCTGCTATTAGTGGTACTATACAGCTATTAAGCTAAGTAGCCATTAGCAGCCATCTTCATTCATTTTTCCTCCCCCCCCCCTTTTAAAGGCACCTGATTAAGTGACCATTGCTACATCTTGTGGTATAGAATTCCATAGTTTAACTGCACAGTGTGAAGAAGTAATTCATCCTCTCTCTCTCAAATCCCCCATCAGGCTATTGAACAGTAGTAGGAGGCAACAAAATTCGTACTTTGCCTGCTCTAAAACTGTAATCTCCTTCCTGAGTGAAGTTAGAAGAACTTTGCTCCCTTTTCACAAGGGTTGGAATACATTTTTGATCAAACTCCTATTTCTGAGGGTGTTAGGCTTTTATTTTGTTAGGTCTATTGCATTGATGTAGTGTTTTTTTCTTCTTTTAATTTATTTGTCTCACTTTTTAAGTGTTTGGAAAAGAAGAAAAAGATCTGATTTGATGATGATGATGATGATGATGATGATTATAACATTTCTATGCCGCCCCTTGCCGAAGCCTCGGGGCGGCTTACAACACAATAAAATACATTGAAATACAATAGAGCATAATTAGATTAAAAGCGTGCAAATACCCATTTTCATAAGTGTTTTTTTTTGTTTGTTTTTTTTGTTTTTAGGAAAAACGCCACCAGGATCGTGCACTAGCCATTTACAAGCAAGTGCTCAGGAATGACCCAAAGAACTTGTATGCAGCAAATGGCATTGGTAAATACTGGATTTCTATTTCTTGTCCAGATGCCTTCCTAGCACTGTGCAGTTTTTGAAGTAGGGCGTACATCTGAAAGTCCTCCTTCATCTTTTCCTTTTTAGGAGCTGTACTGGCACACAAAGGATATTTCCGTGAGGCTCGTGACGTTTTTGCTCAAGTGAGAGAGGCAACAGCAGATATCAGCGATGTGTGGCTCAATCTGGCACACATTTATGTGGAGCAGAAGCAGTACATCAGTGCAGTACAGATGGTAACCCTTAAAAATAGAATGACTCAGGGCAGCTGTCCTGTAAAATCCAGAGTAAAACTGTAAAGCCAAGAGGCTTTTCCATAAAAAAGGAAAGGGTTTTTATTATTATTTTTACTATGATAGTACTTTATGAAATATCTACAATTTGGGAAGAAAAAGCAGTGCATTCTTGCTGAAGGTAGCAGTTACTAAAATCAAAGAACTTTTTTTCAGAGCTGCCATGAAATGCCTCAATTTCAACAAGATCTTATTTCATAACAGCCTATAAAAGTCAGATACACATATGGGGCATTGGGGAAACAGTTCTCTAATAAAAGAATTGCTGGAAGGAGCAGGAGAGAGAGAACATTTTTAAAAACAGCTAAGAAATTAATATGTTTCTTATTTACATGGCAAACTCACAGGCTAAACCTCCTAAATAAAGCTTGTTCAGTCTTACAAAAATAATATTTTGACCACTTCTTAGAGGTGCTTTTCAGTGCTGAATATAATACTGCAGGTATTTTAGTTAAAAGTGTTTGAAAATAGAATACATGAGCATGGTGGAGCTTCGCTAGAAGCAGTATACTTCCTTTTAACATGCTCTTTTTATCCTTTCCCCCAGGTTTTAGCAGGAACTTACAGGTGAAAACAAGCAAGGATTCAACACATTTCCCCAAAGAAGCCTGATAAACACACCAGAACCTGGTGTAGAAAATGCCACAATTACACAGTGGGCAAACAAAACCCTAATATTAAGTCTGAATTGGAAGTTTGAAATTTGATGTTTAAATATATAGACACACACATTATATTTCATTCTTGAAACAACAATGAACTACAAGTTCCATGCAGTTATTTAAATTTGGACAAAAAGTTGTTAAAAATAACCCAGTTCGGTCTTTCTGAAGAGAGAATAAGAGTGCAGTACCACCAATGTTCAGAATTGTCTCTGTGTTGGATCTACTTTTTAATGATGTCTGTTTTAAGTGTTACTGAATTGAATTATGGGCATCATCTGTCAGTTGGTATTATTACTGAATTGAATTATGGGCATCATCTGTCAGTTGGTATTATAATCTTTCAAAAATCTGCATAGATGGAAAAAGCATGCTGTAATAGGTACAGAGTCAGAGTTTCCTTTTACTAGATAAAAGGATCTCTAATGTCTTTTCTTCATATACTATAAAATTGTTCTTTCAGACTGTTTTCTAGTGGACCATTGAGTTCCTTATAATAGTATCACTGAGAAGAGGAGGAATAATAGCTTTCCTGTCTGTCCACAACTCCCAACCTTCCTTGGAGGTGTCCAGCTGCAAGAGAGTGTCTGCCACACTCCCACTTTACATGGTGCAGCAGTGAGGTCCAAAAGGTCTGGACTGTAGGTTGTGCAGCACCCCTGCGTGCAGTTTCCATGACAAATATACAGGAGTTCCTCATGTGGAATGAAAAGGATTCCCTGAAGATAGAACATTTAAAAGCCACTGTCTAGAATGCATCACATATAAAACAATATATTGCTCCTTCTAATAGTGAACTTGGCTGTTGACATTTTATGAGGAATAAGAGGAGTGTAGAGGAAGGTACAGGGAGCCTTAAAGTTTTAAAAAGTTCATCGAATCTCTCCTTAAAAATAACTTATAGAGGCCAAAGCAAAACCTTCGCCCAAAGAAGGACTAAGCATGCTTAATAGCCATACAATGTTGGAGATAGAAAAAATGAGTGAGGGTACAGGAGAGGAATGAATTTCCTGCTTGGAGGCAATGGCTCTCTGAAACCCTGAACTGGAAAACTCTTTTGGGGAAGGAGGATACACTGTGTTTTGGTGCAAGTCACTTATTTAACAATTCAGCAGTAATTGAAATGATGGAATAGTTACATCCTAATCTGTTCATGACAAGGAACAAAAATAATTGATTTTAATGTAAACCATTAATAGTACTGCTTTCCAGTATTCACAAAACATTGGGTACATCTGTTGCTTTTCAGCCCTACATCTCATGGATATTGTCTTCTGTTCTGAAACTTGTATAGCAACCCCTTTTCAATTTCTTTCATTGTGGAAGAAGTAGGAGTTTCAAATTGCACAATGTATTTAAATTTTCTAGACATGCAGAAGATTCTCCTGCTTATTGCATATAATAAAGAGTCTGGCTCTCCAGTATAATGAAGAGTTGCAAAACTCCTAATTAGGCATCCTAATGGCTTATTGCTCATTAGTTATTGGTGGCAATGGGAGCTTCCTTGCTGTGCTAAGTAGCAGGTAGTATAGATGGGGTGTTCATTAGGATTGCAGCATGGGAGGAAAGGCTTTCTTAGAAATCTTTCCTCTTTCAAAGTTGAAAAAGGTTCAAACAACTGCATGTGACATCTTTAGCACAGTCTTGTACTTAATTGCTTTCCTGGCAGCCATACATAAGCAGAAATTAAATCCAGGGAAGTAAAGGAGAAGGGGCCTGTCACTCTTTTGTCAGTCCAGTTGTGTTTCTGCCTTGGCTGTGAAAGCAGGGAAGCCTTCCCCTTTGTTTTATTGCCTTTCAGCAGTCTGCCTGAAAGAAGGCAGTTTTTGATTAGTCCGCTAAGCATTTAATAGTGTTTTCAGTGCTGGTAGAAGAGGAGGAGCCTTTCCAGGACACTGGTTCCTTAGCAGCTCGGGGTGGGGGGATTCTGCAGGGGTCTCATTTGTGCGCTTGTTTGCAAGGCTGGACTAGCATTGCATTTGGTTGTTTCCCATGTTCTACTGACGTTAGAAGGACTTCCTTAGGAGTGAACCTGCTCAGGATTGCAATGTGGGGATTCTTTGAAACTGTTAAACTCAGCTTCCAATATAAAGCAACATTAACTTTTAGCCAAACAGTAGTTCTGAACAACTTCAAAACACTTTGGTTTGTTTTTTTAATTTTTCCACCTTACAGTATGAAAATTGCCTTAGAAAATTCTATAAACACCAGAACACAGAGGTACTGTTGTATTTGGCCCGAGCTCTCTTCAAATGCGGCAAATTACAGGAGTGTAAGCAGACACTGCTGAAGGTAAAAACTGGCTTTTTATGTTTATTAGTGCGGGGGATTTATTGTCTCCTCCGCCTGTGCATTTTAGAGCTGGGGCTGGTTTATATCTATTTAATTTAAAGCTCAATTTGAATCCTCAGGCTAGACATGTGGCACCCAGTGATACAGTCCTAATGTTCAATGTTGCCCTGGTGCTGCAGAGGTTGGCTACCTCTGTTCTGAAAGATGAGAAAAGTAATCTGAAAGAAGTACTAAATGCTGTGAAAGAACTGGAGCTAGCTCACAGGCAAGTAAATGTACTTTGTGTTTAATTCATGTAGAGTACATGAACTGTGCATTGTTGTATTGGGAAGATTATGTTCCTTAGAGTTTATTTTTTGTACGTCTTTATAGATGTGCTTGCTGTTGGCTAGTCTTCTCAGACCTCCCAAACGCTGCCTTTTAAATAACATTTGAATGTGAAACTATCCATTTCATTCTGGACTAAAAGTAACTCCCACAAGCCAATAGCTTTTAGATCCTTCTGCCAATGGGTTGTGTGAAATGGAGTACAAAGAAAGAATTATCTCCTCCCCTGCAAATTAATGAATCAAGTAATACTTACCGGAAGTTGAAAAGGAGTGTGCCTTTTTGCTTTAATAGCTTCCTTTAGTTGCTCTCATCCTCCAGAGCTGCAATTGATTGGTCTGTTATTCAGGTTAAGTGCAAAAAAGCTGCAGTCATGAACATTCCCACAGAGCCTAAAAGTCCTAGGAGCTCGGAAGTGAAAGATCAGTTTGTGGAGTGCTATCCAGCTCCTCTAGTCTTTAAGGGTAACTGTCTGCCTCTGCACAATGGAAAAAAATATTTCTAGAAGAGAGGCTAGTCCAAGAAGAAGCAAATTGTGGCTTCAGAATTGATAACCCATATTGCTTCTACACTGAAAGCTTCCTTAAAAGATGCAAGCGTCTATTTTTACTTAATGTCTCTCTCTATATGTCATCTTCTCATAGTACCTCAGTGCTTTTTATAATATTTACGGGTGTGAGCGTGATCACCAGTGCCAGATATCTTCCTCCTCTTCCAATAGTTTCATTGCTTGAGATTTTCATTAAACAGTTGTTCAGCAGGTTTGACAACATCTCTTAAGGCCTCTCCTGAGCCAGCTACAAGATGATTCAGTCTTCTGCAAAACAGGGTGCATCATGCAGTCCCAGTCCATTAAAAACCAGAGAAAATTGTCTGTTGAATGTATAATGAAAAATTAATTGAAACCAATGTACTTCAGGGACACTTTTCCTTTGAGTGAAAACTGAGGATGTGTATCTTTCAATATGTGAGTTATAGATGGAATTGAGATTAGGATGGTACTTTTTAATAGCCTCTTCTTTTAATAGCACCTTGTTTTTATTTTCTTAAGTACATATATGGAAAAAGATAGGGTACATCTGAATTGTTTAAAACTTAATCTTGGGCTTTCTGCTTTCCATCCAGATACTTCAGTTACTTGAGTAAAGTGGGAGATAAAATGAGATTTGATTTGGCACTTGCTGCAACTGAAGCCAGGTAAGAATTGCATGCACCCTACATGACTAGTGCCTACGAGAATCAGAATGCATTTGCTTCTTTCGTATAATATACAGGTGACAGGATTTGGGCTACTTTAGTAGTGTTGTAGGCAAACTACACATGGGTGTGGCTGAAATCCCAACTTTTTTGGTTGGGGGCGTTGAATTCAAGGCTGTCTTCCCATGATGGCGGCCAACCATCTGTTGATGGACTTGGAGATAAGGATGTGCAACGGCATGTGGGTTCCCTCCATGGCATGCAAATCTCTGGATTGGAGCCTTGATATTTGAATAGGGGTAACTCCAGGGAAAGTGACAATCGAGTCCCCAACTGCATTTTTTTTTTTAAATTTAAGCCTATTATGGTCTTGATATTCAACCTGTAGTAATTACTCCTGGGAAGTAATTACTACAGGTTGGCAGTTTTCCAAGCATAAGAGAAACTTTCTCTTGGCCAGTGACATGGAGCAGTTTCCCCCCAATGTTCTGCTTCTGCATTTTGTTTAACTCCAACCCATTAGGCAATGCTCTGATCTGCTGAGTCAAGCTCAGTATCACGTGGCTCGGGCTCGCAAGCAGGATGAAGAAGAGCGGGAGCTGCGAGCCAAACAAGAGCAAGAAAAGGAACTGCTGCGCCAGAAGTTACTCAAAGAACAGGTACTTTTCATTTCTTCTGCTACTGTAGCAGAACTATGATTACTTCAGGTGGCTGACATAATAGCCATTAAACTACAGAAAACACAGCATATAAATCAAGGATAAGGCTTCAGTGGTGTCCCTATTAGTGTGAAAACCAAGCTATGTATTTGTTGAATGTCTCACTACCACAAACCATCTGTCTCTGGAGGCTTATCATCAGTGCTTCCAAGGAGTAGCTTTCTTCTAAGAGATCTGTTCTGCCTTCCTCGAACTGATGCTCTTCTTCTCCAAGACCCTGTTTTCCATGACACCAGAGGAGCTGTCACCCAGAAATTGGGTTTCCACTCTTTGGTCCCTGAAGGCCCCGTCAGCTAACCTCTCAGCCTCATTTTGCTCCTGCAGGTCAGCAACCTTCGCTCCAAGGGAACAAACTCGTTCTCTGAGAGCCAGAAGCTCAATACACTGAGCACACACCTACAACTTCTGTTCATCTGGGAGACAGTCATACATGTAACACTCAGTGCAGTACACAGGACAAGACAGTATTGAATTGGAAAAAGTGCAGAGAAGGGCAACCAAAATGTTCAAGGAGTGACTATCCTATGAGTAATGGTTGTAACAGCTGAGATTGTTTAGCTTCAGAAGAAAGGCATGATAGAAGTGTACAGAATTATGCAGGGTGTGAGAAAGTAGAGTGGGAAACATTTTTCTCCCTTTCCCACAATACTAGAACCTGGGTTCATCCCACCAAGCTGATTGGTGGGAGATTCAGGACAGGTAAAAGGAACTACTTCTTCACAGAGAGCATAGTTAAAATATAGAATTCATTGCCACAAAAAGTACAGTTGGCCACCAATTTGGATGGCTTCAAAGGGGAATTGAATAAACTTATGGAGGACAAGGCTACCAGTGGCTTCTAGTCTTGATTGCTGTGTGCAACCTCGAGTATAAAGGCAGTATCTTGCATGGATATGATAAGATTTTGCAGCAAAATGGGAAGAATTGCATCAATTTTAAGCTTTTAGTAAATTAGTAGTTTGATTTTGGAGCTGAGCATCAAAGCCAGCTAATACATTGCTAGGCTTTGCACCCTGAGGAGGCCCAGATGAACTTTTAACAAGGGTCAGCCCTTTTTAAAGCAAAATTATTTAGTAGTAGGAAGAATTTGATACTAAATTCATGCTTTTGTATCTGCATCCAGTATTGTAAGTTCAAGCAAACTAGCAGAGTTACCTTTATTTTTCCAGGAAGAAAAGCGCCTCAGGGAAATGGAAGAGCAAAAGAAACTTTTGGAGCAGAGAGCCCAGTATGTGGAGAAGACCAAGAATATTTTGATGTTCACTGGGGAAGTTGAAGGATCAAAAGAGAAAAAACGTGGTGGAGCTGGTCGGGTACAGAATAATACTTTTTTTTTTTAATGTCTGCAAATGTGGTGGCACTCTTCCAAACTTCCAACTAATTTTTATAGAAAGGCTATGGAAAAGCAGCATCATACTTCAACACTGAAGGGCCAGATTTGAAACGTGATAGTGAAGGATGGCATATTAATGTTTTAAATAAAATTAATTAATAAATAAGCCATTCTCTAATAGGCACTTGGACTAGCTTTTTGCTCAGTTCATCTTGGAACCTTATTTCTTAGGAACTTAAGTGCAGGGAGGAATTTTCATTTTAACTTCAGCAGGTGAAAAAATGCTGACATGTTTTTCATTTCCTCTGCTGTTCTGTTATCTATTAAGTATGCATGGTTATTTTCTAGTAATTCCTCCATTTTCTTTTTTCATTACATCACCTGATATGTCTTCTCCAAGTGTAACTGTTTCTCTATATACTCTGTTCCATGTTCATTGTGCGGAGGCATCCACTGTAGCAGGGTTCCTACCCTTTCTCAGCCCATGGACACATCTGTGGATTTGATAAGTTGCTGTGTGCACCATCACAAAATGGCTCTTAAAATGTGGCTAATGGAGACCTTCATGGGCATTATTGGAGGTCCTCTACTCTGTGGGTTATGTTGACCCCCCCTCAATCTCCCCAGGGCAAGGAAGTGAACATAACCAGGCTTTTTGATCTGGCTCTAGTAGTCTCAGCACCTCTCTGCATGTTCATTTACTGTCTTTGTCAAGAATAGTTTATCTCTTATCTCACAGCCTTAGTCCTTACTCTGCTCCAGTTTTATTTTAAGTGTGTACTGTGTTTATGCTGAAGGGCAGGGTAGAACTTTCTTAAAGCTCTAAGTTTTCTGCAAGTTGAATGTATTCTACATTGGAAGTAATCTGGCTCCTAAAATGGTTTGCTTGTTTTGTGGATTGTTTTCAGTTAGAATTATGAGTGAAGTGTGGTTTCTGATTTTCTGACAGCGTTCCAAAAAAACTGGGGAATTTGATGAGTTTGTCAATGATGACAGTGATGAAGATCTCCCAGTGTCAAGGAAAAAGAAGAGGAGGAAGGGCAGTGGCAGTGAACAAGATGGTGAGGAAGAAGACGGAGAGAAGAAAAAGAAGAAGAGGCGAAGGTGAGTATTTACTCTAGTGCAATTAGACCACTTTGGTGGGCATTGATGCATCATGCAGCCCTGTCTGCTGCCCAAATCATGCATCACTTCCCAAATATAGCTAAATGCATGAAATCAGCTTTTAATGGTGGCTGGATAGCCAGAGAAGTCTTGATGTGTGCACATGGAAGTGCTCGGCATAAAAAATGCTTAAATTTCAGTCATGGTGTCTGGTATACCTGAATTAAATAGTTGAAAAACAATGTTTGAGTGTCTACTTCAGCCAGTAAACCAGGATTAAGATAATGAGTGTGCAGGTACAATACTTACTGCAAATCTTAATGGAGTCTTAGAAGCTATCTTAAAGAGCTAGGCCACATAGAAATGTATAATTGATGTCCCTACCATAGCCTGATACAAACCATATGGCACTCAGTTTGTCTATTTCAGAAATACTTTCTAAATATTTAGCATTGTTCTGTAAAAATGAAAAGGAACTGTGTAGGATTATTTCAAAAGTAGTAGTTTGATTCAGGTGTGATAGAAGATTCTGATTTCTGCTGTATTTGTGTTCTCCCAAGGGCCCAGAAGGCAGATGACGGTACTGATGATGATGAAAATGAGACCACACCCAGACCTAAAAAACGCCGCCCAGCCAAGACTGAGAAGAGAAGAAACGTATGGATTGTTTTAAGCACTTTAGTTGCTAGTATTTCATTTTCATGGAATTGTATTGAAAACAGCAAGATTTGCTGTTCTGTGAAGCACTGGAAATATTGGCTAAGCTTAATGTTCAGGTTTGTTTGACTGTGGTTTGTATACACAACAGTTTCCGGTATTCAGGTAAAACTGGAAACTACATTTTTCTCAGCCATGAACAGGAGCTTCAAAGATCTTTTCTTCAAGTGGAAAGAAGGGACAAATTGGGAAGGGCGAGCTAAAGCATAATTAGTGGTTACATCTGAATTTGGCCACTGTCTGCTGAATTTTTTTCATCTTCTCTTTATTGTCTGAGGTTATGGAAGTGATCTGTTTTTTGAATTCACTGATTGAAATTACTTTTTCATGCTTGACTTGTTAGCTCTGTAAGCTAATTACAAGAAGTCGATGATACAGAGGTAGCTCCCCAGTTACACTAATAGTTGGGTTTTACTTTTCCCATGTACACAGCTACAGGAATATATAACATTTAATCATAAAATAACTGGAAGCCCAGGTTTCTTTATTACCTTATTACCTTAGAACACATTTTCCCTTTTATAGGCTAAGCCAGAACGCCTGCCTCCTTCAATGAAGGGGAAAATTAAATCTAAAGCAATCATTTCATCAAGTGATGACTCATCTGATGAAGAGAAACTCAAAATTGCTGATGATGGGTATGTAGTCTTTATCACCCTGGAAAGAGTGGCATTTATTATTGTGAAAAGCAGAATTGGCAGCACAGAAAATAGGGATTCCTTATCCGGTTCAAAGATAAAGATAGGCTCATAGTCCCCTCCTATACTGTATATAAAGGCATGCACCCAACTCCATCCCAGGCTACTTTGTTACATTATATCCTTGCAAAGATTTCCATCTGCAGTGTTTATAGTTACACTTTGTACTCTACATAACATTTTAGACTCTTTCAGAGGATCTGAAAATTTGTTCTACATCAGTGCATAAATCTTATGGTTCCCCAACTGGATCTCTTACTCTTTGCTTTACTTCATATAGATGCTGTGAAGTAAAACAAAAAAATACATAGAGTAGGTTTGGTGATATCAAATATATTTGATATATTTTTATTGTGAGCCCTTACTTAGATCAAAGCTTAGGAAATGAGGTACAGCCTCATCTCAAATGAAACAACTGTGAATTGTCCTATTCACAAATTGTTTAATCTGGAGTCTTTGCATGATGCATAGAAAACCCATAAATTGCACAATCCTGCTTTCTGCATATTTCTCAGCTTTTCTTTTAAAATGGGAACGTTTAGCATGTTTGCAAAGATACACTAGAAGGCGGGTGGTGGTTGCATGTAACATCTTGGGAACTATAGAAAATGGCTCAGCAAGGTTTTCGCGGGGTACACTTTCAACACCTTGTTATTTGTAATTGGCAGGACTGTCATAAACCTTGCATAATAGAAAAAATATATTATGCAAAACATATAGAAGCAACCTTTGCATGTTGCACAATTAAGCTTTTCTCGGTACAGGTTCCTGTTACCACAGCACAGACTTTCAGGGGCATTTTTAATGCACAAGTCCCTTCTGTTAATGTTTAATGTTTACCAGTGGGGATGTTTCAATTGTTGTGTTCTATTCCTGAACAGAAACATCAGGAACAGCAACAGTGATTCAGATGATGCAGAGGCCCCTCGCAACAAGCGCATCCTGTCAGACAGTGATTCTGATAACAGTAACAAGTCTGGTAGTGAGGGGGGCAGTCCTAGGCGATCCAGCGCCCGCCCTTCAGAGGAGGACTCAGACAGTGATGGATCAGCAAGGAAGAGGAGACGGTCCGATTCTGAAGTGTCTGACAACGAGTCAGTGCGGTCAGGGAGAAGCCAGTCTGTGCAGTCAGGGAGAAGCCACTCGGGTGGTTCTGAGAACGAATCCCGCCCAGCTTCACGCAGTGCTGATTCAGACAGAGTATCTGATAATCAGGGCTCAGGTAACGAGTCTGAACCAGAGGCATCCAACAATGAGGGATCTGAACGAGGCTCCTATGGTGGATCAGATGACAGTGATTAGATTTCAGTGACTGCCTGTTTTTTATATATAAACTGCTTTGTAAATAGATTTTGGCTTGTGAGCGAGTGAGTGGAAGATACAGGCATCCATCTTTTATATTTGAAAACATGATTTAAAAACTGTACAACTATGTTTTTGGAAAAAGTATTAAAGTTGAAACATTTCCTATAACATTTTTCTACTGAAATATATACTTCCTAGATCCCTGTGCTCCTCTAGAATACAATGTTTACATAAACTCTGTACATGAGAGATCAAGAATGCTGTATAGGAGTTTATGAAGCTTTGTCCAGGTGACATAAGTTGGTAATCCCGCATCCAGTAATGCCTGCTTAAGACTCCCTGAAACAGTACTTAAGCACATTTAACTGGGTGGAAGAGTGTAGCCCATGCTGTCTTGCCTAGTGTGTTGTATTTGTTTTTAATACATACATACACAGACACACACACACACACACACACATACATATATATATATGGAAAGGAATATTGGTAGAACTCCAAGAATTTCTCAAATGGCATAAAAATGTTTGGGTTTACAAAGCTATCCTGGCTATGTAGCTCTTATAAAATATATTTTTATGTTCTGTTAAAATACATATGCACTGTAGAGAAATTCCTAAAATTGAAAGCAAACATAGCAAATAATGCTGCAAGAATGTAGAGAAATGGCAGATTTATGACTTGGCATAATTTTTTTTAAATTAGAACCTTTCTTGGTGTGGAAAGATCTGCCTATGGCATTGAATAAAAGCTGTTGCTACCATATGCTGAGAATTTTCTGTTTTACTACAACTTTTACATGTACTCCTTTACATGGTAATCCATTGAGTTTAATGGCACTTGCTCCAGGTAAGTGTGTTTAGGATTGCAGCCTTAATACTGCTTTGTTACAAGGTCATATTCCAGTAATCTTGAATTGCTGAGCTTAACATACTCTGTATCTGCCACGTTTGATTTCAAGTTCTCTGCAAACTTCTACAGACTTGAAAAAAAGCCTTGAGGGTATGTTTCTATACCTCAGTGTGCAAATCAGATGGCCTATTGAGATTGGGCAATTCTGGCAGGAACAGTAGTGTCCCAATCTAGCTGTCATCAGGTTTAGGAGCTTGCATTTTTAACCTGTAATTATGGGTCATGGCAGTAATGATGAAGAAACTTTTTGTTCAGTCTGTGAGTTATATGGAGAACCATGTATGTGGACAAAGCAGGAGAGAAAAGCTTGCTCCCTTTTACCATCGTATGTCCCCATCCTGATAGGCATCATTGGTCTGTTATATCCATATTGTGTGTTTTCCTTGAGGTGGCTGCCTCCTCTTCATTTTATACTCAATAGCAGTTCTATGAAATAGGTTAGTCTTAGTGTCAGTGACTGGCCCAAAGTCACCCACTGCACTTCATGGCTGAGGGAGAATGGAATCTGGGCCTCCCTAGACCCAGTCAAACATTGGAACCAATATACCATATTGGCTCTCTAAAGAAAGCAATGTTCATTTGTTTCTGAAGTTCCTTTGCTACTGTTTAATAATGTATTGTATATTGGCCACCTATTTCAAGAAACTCTGTGTTTTCATTTTCTCCAAAATCCAAGTAACTGAATAGCCTCTGAGGTACTATTGTTACTATAATCTTTTAGCAAAACTGTTTAAATTTTAAGATTGAAACAGTCACTTGGTGTATTTTAAATCCCCACACTTGTAATGCTCCCCCGTGCATGTCTACTCAGAACAAAGTTCCACTGAGTTCAATTGGACTTACTTGCATAGATGGTTTATACAACTTTACTGAACCAATATATTATGCATTGGGCTTAGTACACCAATGAGAAATTTTGCATTCTCACAAATGTGGGTAGTATCAATGTTTTAGAAGAAAAAAATTCTCTCAGCCTGCTCATGGGAACAAGTTTGGATTTACTAAAGAAACTGAATTTCTTCTTCCATTAAGTTTGCAATTCCTGTTGAATCTTTCCTAAAGTAATCATCTATAAGCTTTAATAAATATATGTTAGCACCTGTTATTTAATGTGAGGGTGTGTAGAGTGTATGTGTGGTCCTACTGACCCACACAAAACACAATTTGTTCAAAAGAACTGTGGTGTTACCTCACACCACCTCCCCACCTACATATTCTAAGTCACTTAACTGCAAAGGAGGTGCTAAAATTTGCATAACACTTCCGTGGGAAAGCTAATCTGTTTTTAAATATCTGACTCTGCTTCTGTGATTCATGAAATGATTATTCAGTTCTGTGATAGCAACATAGACCTGATCTGAGTAAAGGAATCAGGCAAGGGAAAGACTGATAAATGCTCCATTAGAAGCAACTGTGATTTTATCCCCAGTCTCCCTGAACTGGCATGTTTTGGTAGCTGCCCGACATGGTGTAGCCAGTTTGGACATGTTTATGTAATTAGTCTGATCTTCTGTAAGGCTAATTTGCTAAGGGGAAGACATTCTTGAAGGTGGTGTCATTTCATGCTGCATTGTCCTGCTAAACAATGGATGACTATTGTGTAAAGCTTATGAGTAAAAGGAACGGCAGACTGTAATATACTGGATAGTCAATAGTGAATTTAAGATCTGTACAAAAGAGCATTAATGCTTTGGGGTAAAGCATGGATCTTGGTAATTTACATGTAGCTCTAGGAAAGTCAGGAGCCTTTCTCTGGTTAGATATTGGCAGCAACTTCTCACTAAGACAGACCTGAACATGGGATTTAGTATTGCAGATGGGGGTGAGGTCATGACTTCTCTCTACCCCAAGATAAATCCCTTTAACTTGTTACGTTGGGCAGGAGGTTTGAGTCTAGCTTCCCAGCATGCTAGCTTAACTAGGTGTAGGCATTTGGGTTTTTAGGGACATAATCAATCAGGTGGGTCCCTACTTGCAAATTTCAGTAGTATAGCTTATATATTCAAATACAATCTATACTACTGAATATAGATTCAAATATAATAGTGGTATATTCAAATTGCAGGCATAGATTTACTATATCCTTAGGAATATGGCTTGTGACCAGGAAGGAATGGAGGCCATCTTTCAGAAGCACACATTGGATGCACCTCTGAAAAAGACGGACAGGTTATGAACAGAAGAAGCTGCCGAATACCAAGTGAGACCCTTGGTGCATCAAGTTCGGTATTGTTGATTCTAATGGGCAGCAGCTCTCCAAGGTCTGAGGCAGGCTCTTTTCCTACTTGGGCTGGAACCCTTCATGCATGCATGCCAAACAGGTGGCCTGCCACTGTGCCATGGCTCCATTTGGCTTGCACTGCAACTTTCCCAAAATTCATTACTATAGAACTGAATGCTAGTTATCAACAGACGGTGGTGCTCATGTTGTTGAACTACACCCCTCATCTCTCTGGTCATTGGCCATGCTGTGGGGGATGCTGGGAACTGCAGTCCAGCAACATCTGGAGGGCTGCACATTCTTTATCCTGGTTTTAAAATGAAAAGGGTGTGCACTTGGGGTGAGAGTGACATTTTTCTGAAGGAGTTTCATTCCTAAAAGGCTGAATTGCTACTTTCCCCATTTGTTCACACTGAAATATACCAACTCGTGATGCTAATTACCAATATGCAATCCTTGCTAAAGAAATATGTTTTTAAAGTGTTGGATTGCCTAATATCTTGATTATGATCTTCTTGTTGATTTCTCTTCTGTTGAGGCTCCCATCTGAAATATAGGCAAGTATGAGTTCCTGCTAAGAGGCCATTGCTAAGCCAGGAGAAGTAAAGAGAATAATTGCTAGATTAAGTATTCTTCAACCATATGAACTGTGCTGGCTTTTTAAGGTGCTAAACATAGCAAGTTATCAAAGACAGTAGATATTGGGTGAAAACATTGTAAAAATAGTGATTATGGTTATTTTCGGTTTTTTTAAGGGCTCTCCACTCATTTAAAGGATTTTAGCTGATTAGTCAAAATGACCAAAAAATCAATATATAATTGCCCTTTTTGGGGGGTACTGAAAGATAACTTACAATTCAATAAAAGCTATTTATCCTTTAAAAATGGTCATCTTTTTTTAATTACAGTGGCACTTCAGAACCAAAATAGGCTCACAAAACTGAACTTTCACATCTAGCTCTAGTGATGAAAATTGGACCCTACTATTAACCAATCAAATGAGAAAGCAATCCTAAGCAAGTCTATGTAGAAAAAAGTTATTTGGCGCTCAATATTCCCCACCCAGCCGCACACAGGAGTATACCCAAAAGCTCAAAGCACCAGTTCTTTCTGCTTATGCCATCTGGCACCTCTGAGCAAAAACCTTCATTTGCCTTTTCCCCATCCCTGGTCTGCAGCTTCTGTTACTGTTCCTTTCAACTCTGGTCTCCAGTAACAGTTTAATAATTGATGCCTGATGCGTCCTTTAGTTCTTGAGTTTTTTACACTATTGTTCCAATTGTCATTGTCTCCCAACTATTAAAAAGGGATGTGTCTTCCTGGGTAAGCAAAAGGTAATTCCTGTTCAGCTGGATTCTGGACTTTCAGCAGATCGATTTTCAGGAACCATTTCTCAAATATGCCACAGAAGACATCACAGAGAGACGCACAGAGAACCAATCAATCCACAAGGCCATCTCTGCTGGAGAATGCAGCAGGTGTCAAAGGCATTTCCATTGTCAGTAGCAGCAATTCCAATGGAGCAGCATCCTTCTCTAGCAGTAAACCAAGTCCTGATGGACTCACAGGAAAACCTCCCATTTCTCTTGGGGATCATGCCAATCTCTACTGTGGAGTGAGGCCTGTATGTCGGATTCGCCCAACCAGCGCTGTGATACAAGGAGGCTCTGTTGCCCATATCAACCGTCTGCAAGGAGAACTTGTGAGGAAAAGGAAGGTCAGTGTAGCTATTTGTGCTAGGTGACATGTCTCAAAACTGAAGGGTTATGATAGCATTTTGTAAATATCTACAGCCTTGTCACAAGGAAGAGGCTACAAGCTGTTCTCTGTGATCCAAGAATGACGGACATGAACAAATGGGCTTAGGTGAACACCAGGAAAAACTTCAGAGTGGTCAGAGCAGTCAAGCAATGGAACCAGCTGCATAGGAAAGTGGGGGACTCTCCATCCCTGGAGACTTTCAAGCAGAGACTGGACATCCATCTGTCAGGAATGCTTAAAATGAATTCCTGCACTGAGCAATGGGTTGGATTCAATGGCCTAAATATGCCTTTCCAACTCTTGTCTTTCTTTAATTGAATGAGATGATGTAAAAATACCATTCATTCTTGAGAACACACTTTTTAAACTTATCCTAGCATCATGCTTCTAAGTGTTTAAAATGCAGCTTTGTCTTTTATAAATAATAATTTTAGGTTTTATAAGTGTGCAGGGATGCTGGCAAGAGGACAGATCTAAGAGAACAGAATTTCCATCCTAGCTGTATAATAGATTTCAGCTTTCTATTTTCTTCCTTTGCCTTGCATTTCTTTGAGGCAGACTTTTTCTATTACTCTGTCTCTTTGTATATTGTCTAGTAATAGGTTGTCTTTTGTTCTGTTGTAATGCAAATAAATAATACTCCAAGAAAAGTCAACTCCTTTTGTTGATTCATTCTTGGATTGTTCAGGGTCCTTTCATAATAATCTCTCTTATCTCATGAGAAATGTTTTGCTTAACTTTTCTTACATTGTGCAAGTGCACTTGTGATATTCTCTTATATTTCAGGAGATCCATTCAATACATTTCCTGTCATAATTTAACGTATTACTGAAAAAATGTCTGCAGGACTATAAGAATACAGACAAAAGAA